TGAACAACACAAGAAATGAGTTACAAAATTGACTCTGCATTCTAATTAAAATAGGGAATCATGTTGAAAAATAAGTAGCTGGGTAAAAATGTTGCTATATAAACAAAAATATCATCCTTGCCAAAGGACTTTATTGTTTTTCAGTAGACAGGTTCTATTTGTCGTTTCTCAATAGTGCCACTAATACATCTGTTTCAATGTGTGAATTTGTGAAAGTAACGTTTGCAGTCACCATTAATAATAATATGGAAAAAATCTGATTGAATCCTTTATTGCCAATGCAGCATTTTACTCAAAAATAAAAAACAAACTAATGAAATAATTATATAAAAATATATATTTAAAAATATTTAAAATCTGTCTTTGGCATAATAATTAAGAATACTTAATTACAATAAGTAAACATGATTCCTAGTTCCTGTTTTTTAAGAGTGTTTGAGACTGTGCTTTGAGTCTCTGAACATAATATAATAAAATATACTTACTTGTCGAAGGTGGCACCCTGCCTGACTGTCATAGCCGTACATGGTACTAGTTCTCCAGCACTGTGATCACAGGGGTCTTGACCAAGGTGTTGAAAACAGAATTAGTGGGGGTATTGGTATAGCCATGTGTCGTCATGTGCATGCCAGCCTCCATCAAAGCATGGATGACATCCCCATCAATAATGGAGATAGCTCATCAATGACCAACGGGAGGGGCCTTGTGCATATAAAAAGAGGAAGAGTAGCCCCAACGCACAAATACGACACCGAACAACAGATGGACCCTCTCAGCACAGCAGCTACAAAATACAGAAGCAGTCAAATAAAAGCCAACAAGACTTGGTAAGTTTAGAGGCAAATGTCTCGATCTCTATCATGGACACTTTATCTTGTAAGTCATAAAACGTATCTTATCCTTTACTTATTCTACAGGTATCACTATGTTACCCATATGTTCTTTGGAGAAAATCATGCTTATTATTGTGCTGTGGGGTCTTTGCAGTTTGCCATATCTGGAGGGATTACCACTCAGGTAAGAGAGAATAGGATGCAGCATATTGGTCCAAGATGTTGGTGTTGTTTTCAGTTTTGTGATTTCAATTCAAATCTGATCACTCCGTATCTCCATCTGCAACAGCAAGAGGTCAATCAGTGAAGTTCAACTCATGCACAACGTTCGGGAGCACAAGGAGGTGTTAGAAAGGCAGGACTGGCTTCAGCTGAAGCTCAACGATATCCTCACCCCCTCAATAAATGACTCCCAAAAGGAGCAAAAAGGGAAAACCAATGGCCCATCTATCAGACGTTTAAGAAAGGGGGAAGGTGCGGCGTGGATCTTGACCTGACATTGTCAAAACTGATGTTTCTGAAAAGCTAATGAACTCTAAATAATGAAAAGTGTTTTCTCAGTAACGTCAGTGCAGGAGGACACAGTGTCGATTAAAATATACTACTGTACTCGGAGAAAGAACGTGCACTGCTTTACTTATGTCTTTTTAATTTATTTTCAAATAGTGTTTTTATTTATTTGTAAATAAATGTCGCTGTTTAGATATTTAAGCATATTTTTCAGAAACTGTGTAGGACATACAAAGGACAGTGTCTTAACCTTGTAGTAGGCCTCTCTGTTGTCACTGTTTTTGTTTCAGTGTAGTACCACACTGACTTTTTAAATGTACTTTCAACAAATATTTGTACTTGTATTAGACATCCAACTATTGTACAAAAATGTGGACCAACTGGATGTTTAATTATACACTACATTACATGGAACAAACTAAGCAAGACT